TTCTTCGACCATGGGACCTTATCTCAAGGTTAGGATCCAAGCAAGGGGAATGGAGAATACGACGGAATCTGTGTGCTCACCTTGCTTGTGGCAATACCTGAGGGACTATTTGAGCTGGTGTTCCATCGTCCAATACTTCGTTTCCTGGTGCCAACCTACCCCCTGATCACCAACTTTCCAACATGCAGCAATCAGGTGTGCAAATTGCCCCTGTCCATGATCTACGCATACGTGTGTGTGCATGCAAGTAACCTGAGATGAAATTCTGATCGCGGCGGATCTTAACCTAGCGCAGCAGCTCTACCCACTGAGCTAAGGACACTTGCATGCCTCACATCCCCACATCGTTCAATCCTACTGGAATACAGTTATTCCTCCAGTGAAATGTATTGAGTCATACACACGACTTCATACGTGTACATGATCAAGCAGAAACGATTGCATCTAGTCATACATGCGACCACATTCATGTACGAGATCACGCAACCAACTTCATACACTCGAGGCCATTGCACACGCACACGTCCCCGTGTACCCAAGACCGCACTCATGTACAAGATAACGCAACCAACTTCATACACTCGAGGCCATTGCACGTGCACACGTCCCCATGTACCCAAGACAGGTGATAGAAGCAAAAGAGTCCCTTCGAATGGTAAAGAAAAGGGTTGAAGTCCATACAGCTGAAGTATCCTTGTGAAGCTCATGGGTGAAGCATGGGACAGCATCCTACCCTACGCAGCCTGGCAAAACGCCCAACGCATTTCTGCTGCTGTCAGGACAGCGTCTTCAGGGGCTCACTCGAAGGTGCGATTCAACATGCTATGGGACTTCGGTTCCGAATCAATTTGGGGGACACTTGACCAGGCTTGCAGCAGGTGGTAAACCCCACTAATAGACAAGAGCTTTGACTTTAGTTTGAAATTTGAAGGGGAAAAAAAGGAGTTACTCCTAGCAGGACAGATCATCAGGGGGCAGCAGCCGTTTAAGCTGTACCTGCGGAAATGCTGTTCGCGGTTTTCCTATTGTTGTTGGATTGCTCCTCTGCCTATCCGACTCTGGAGGCTCGACAGATTTTGGATAGATGTTAGAGGATGACTATTTTTTATGCTGGTAGGGATGGGTTACAGCTCTGGTACATTACCCAGGAGCACTAATGCTAGGCTAGAAATGTGGACAGTGGCGAAGGGTAGAGCACAACTCTGCTCCTACCAGCATCACTATCACCCGTGACTCAGGGTTGTCGAGCCCCGGCCCCGGGGCCCCGGCGGGGGTCCGGGGGTGGGAACGCCCAACCCCGGCTCCAGACCCCCCCCCAAAAAAAAAAAAGAAAAAAAAAAAAGAAAAAAAAAAATATATATATATAGTGGGGGGTGCGCAGCGAGAGCGCGCACCACATGGGCTAAATTCCAAAAATGGGGTTTTATGCCCCACCCCGGACCCCCCCCGGGGCCACACCCACCACTCGTGGGACCGGGGTAGCTGCTGGTGCGGGGCCGGGGGCGGGGTTGAG